GCACTAAGATTTTTGGGGCCATGAGACATGCTCTAAGATTTTTGGGGCCATGAGACATGCACTAAGATTTTTGGGGCCATGAGACATGCACTAAGATTTTTGGGGCCATGAGACATGCACTAAGATTTTTGGGGCCATGAGACATGCACTAAGATTTTTGGGGCCATGAGACATGCACTAAGATTTTTGGGGCCATGATATATTTGGGGCCATGAGACATGCACTAAGATTTTTGGTGCCATGAGACATGCACTAAGATTTTTGGTGCCATGAGAAATGCACTAAGATTTTTGGTGCCATGAGATATTTGGGGCCATGAGACATGCACTAAGATTTTTGGGGCCATGAGATATTTGGGGCCATGAGACATGCACTAAGATTTTTGGGGCCATGAGACATGCACTAAGATTTTTGGGGCCATGGGACATGCACTAAGATTTTTGGGGCCTTGAGACATGCACTAAGATTTTTGGACCCATGAGATATTTGGGGCCATGGGATATTTGGGGCCATGGGATATTTGGGGCCATGGGATATTTGGGGCCATGGGATATTTGGGGCCATGGGATATTTGGGGCCATGGGATATTTGGGGCCATGGGATATTTGGGGCCATGGGATATTTGGGGCCATGGGATATTTGGGGCCATGAGCTGTTTGGTGCCGTGAGATATGCACTAAGATTTGTGTGTGAGAAGTAGAGACATGCCACGGTTGTAAAGAAGGTGACGTCAATTGTTGTGCTGTTGGTCACATACTGTCACTCAGTTGTTGTAACAGACGATACAGACCTTTAAAGCGTCACGTCACCTGCTCACGTCGCGTGACACTGCCACGTCTGACCCACATCGCACCATGTGACCACCCTCACCACACCACGCCACACAACCTGACCAAAAGCCACACCATACAACGCGGAATACACCCACAATCAAACGAAGTTTTCTGCCTAAGAAATGCGCCTTGTCTGGTTTTAATTAAACCCATTCAACTAACCGGAAATGAAGGTCGCGGACGGGTTGGGCGGGTTGCCATGGTGACAGTATTTAGTCTTGTAGTCGGATCGGAAGAAAGCTGATTTTAGTTAGCTTAAGAAGATAATCAGATACTTTTTACAAGATCAGATAGACACTCTGTGATGCAGTTTTCTGGAAACTTCCGGGTGCAGGCATCAAATCCTTAATCTTGCAGACGTTACACATTGAAAGGGTTAAGATAGGTTTCACTAAAAGCGTATTGATAAATGTTGAGTATTACTAAAATAAAACATATGTGTGCAACTTTTATAATAATAAACTTTATACCCACGAAAAAGATTATAAGCCGTAATTGTATTTTGTTAATTAGATTTAGTTGACGCTCTGCGTAACAAAACAAAATATGCTTGATTCTAAATGACAATTATCTGGCATTATTTCAACACTGGGTTAGGAGATTTGGCCACAAACACACCACACACTACCCACACACAAACACCCTCACACACAAACAGACAAGCCACCCACACTGGCATCCTACAGGACTAACCTGTAATCAAATACCTACATATGCACACACACACATCGACACCACACACTGACGCCACACACACACACACACATCGACACCACACACTGACGCCACACACACACTGACGCCACACACACACACACAATGACGCCACACACTGAAGCAACAAGGAGTCAGACTGGACTGACGCGACCACAGTACCAAGTCCCTGGGGCAGGCGGGGTGGGTAGGTGGGTGGGGTGGGTGGGTGGGGACTGTGAGATAGATTTGTGTAAGGACAGGGAGGAGATTAAAGATTTCCTCAGCCACGTGAGCTGGGATTAACGTCTGTGTGAGTGGAATAAGTCGGTTCTAGAACTTTCTATACCATCTATCTAGACGTCAGTGTGAGAGGAATAAGTCGGTTCTAGAACTTTCTATACCGTCTATCTAGACGTCTGTGTGAGAGGAATAAGTCGGTTCTAGAACTTTCTATACCATCTATCTAGACGTGTGTGTGAGGGGAATAAGTCGGTTCTAGAACTTTCTATACCGTCTATCTAGACGTCTGTGTGAGAGGAATAAGTCGGTTCTAGAACTTTCTATACCATCTATCTAGACGTGTGTGTGAGTGGAATAAGTCGGTTCTAGAACTTTCTATACCATCTATCTAGACGTGTATGTGAGCTGAATAAGTCGGTTCTAGAACTTTCTATACCATCTATCTAGACGTGTATGTGAGCTGAATAAGTCGGTTCTAGAACTTTCTATACCATCTATCTAGACGTCTGTGTGAGTGGAATAAGTCGGTTCTAGAACTTTCTATACCATCTATCTGGAAAGTTGCCATGTACCAGACATTAGCAGAATAAAGCTTTTCGTCCACAGTTGTAGGTTCCCACGTTTGTGGGTCACATATTGTGGGTACCTCAGTTGTGGGTACCTCAGATTATTCCTCGAGGATTTCAAATTCTGTCATTAGGCTTCAGCCATTTATTTTAAAAATATTTGACCAATTTGGTAAAACCAAAATTGTTAAAACTTAACATTGTAGAAGAATGTTGGATGAACTTGTTAAAACCAAATGTTGGATGAACTTGTTAAAACCAAATGTTGGATGAACTTGTTAAAACCAAATGTTGGGTGAACTTGTTAAAACCAAATGTTGGATGAACTTGTTAAAACCAAATGTTGGATGAACTTGTTAAAACCAAATGTTGGATGAACTTGTTAAAACCAAATGTTGGATGAACTTGTTAAAACCTAACATTGTTGAAGAATGTTGGATGAACTTGTTAAAACCAAATGTTGGATGAACTTGTTAAAACCTAACATTGTTGAAGAATGTTGGATGAACTTGTTAAAACCAAATGTTGGATGAACTTGTTAAAACCAAATGTTGGATGAACTTGTTAAAACCAAATGTTGGATGAACTTGTTAAAACCAAATGTTGGATGAACTTGTTAAAACCTAACATTGTTGAAGAATGTTAGATAAACTTGTTAAAACCAAATGTTGTAGAAGAATGTTGGATGAACTTGTTGAAACCAAATGTTGGGTGAACTTGTTAAAACCAAATGTTGGATGAACTTGTTAAAACCAAATGTTGGATGAACTTGTTAAAACCAAATGTTGGGTGAACTTGTTAAAACCAAATGTTGGGTGAACTTGTTAAAACCAAATGTTGGGTGAACTTGTTAAAACCAAATGTTGGATGAACTTGTTAAAACCAAATGTTGGATGAACTTGTTAAAACCAAATGTTGGGTGAACTTGTTAAAACCAAATGTTGGGTGAACTTGTTAAAACCAAATGTTGGATGAACTTGTTAAAACCAAATGTTGGATGAACTTGTTAAAACCAAATGTTGGATGAACTTGTTAAAACCAAATGTTGGGTGAACTTGTTAAAACCTAACATTGTTGAAGAATGTTGGAGCCGACAACTTAAAGCCTGAATGCCTGTGGCGTCACTTGTCTATTGGAGCAGTTGTTTGAAGTAATGAGGGTAATATCCCGTCCCTCCGTCCCCCCGCCCGTGGCCAGTACTTAATGAGTTACCTTTGGGGCGCTAGACGGACTTTCTTGTCGACTTTTTTAACAACCCACATACCACTCACCTCCCTACCCACGCCCCTCCCACATGCAGAAATTCAAATGACAAGACAAATAAACACACAGATGAACTTCAAGTTTTTAAGAAACCTCCCACACACGAGGCTACAGTAGACAAGAAAAATTTAAGGAGTTAGCGCTGGCACTTTTTGGCTACGGCAGGATGGTGCTACACAAGGTCAGGTGCTACACAAGGTCAGGTGCTAGACAAGGTCAGGTGCTACACAAGGTCAGGGGTCACACAAGGTCAGGTGCTACTCAAGGTCAGGTGCTGTCACAAGGTCAGGTGCTACACAAGGTCAGGGGTCACACAAGGTCAGGTGCTACACAAGGTCAAGTGCTACACAAGGTCAGGTGCTAGACAAGGTCAGGTGCTACACAAGGTCAGGGGTCACACAAGGTCAGGTGCTACTCAAGGTCAGGTGCTGTCACAAGGTCAGGTGCTACACAAGGTCAGGGGTCACACAAGGTCAGGTGCTACATAAGGTCAGGTGCTAGACAAGGTCAGGTGCTACACAAGGTCAAGTGCTACACAAGGTCAGGTGCTACACAAGGTCAGGTGCTACACAAGGTCAGGCGCTGTCCACGTGTGACCTCTACCATATACCTGTATAATCTAGCTAATAGCACCAATGCCACAACATAGTTTGTCTAAATTTATTGTAATTAATTGCAGTGATTAATTATAGTGGGTATGTATCTAATGATGGGTGGTGAATTGAAGTTGATAGGAGGTTAATTAGTAATTAAACTTGATTGCGTTTAATAACACTAGATAAATTGTTCAGTGCAATTTATAGGGGATTAATTACAACAAATGGGTGTTAATTAAAATAAACATACCAATCAACAATCAGTCAAAGAAAGGCAGTAATAAAGATGACAATTTAAAAGTCTGATTGGTTAGGTTTAGAGTTAATCGTTGTAGTAATCCAAGGACGATTGAAATAGATAATCCTATGTCTGGGACGCAATAATAGACGCTCAAAACAGTAGACATATTCAGTCGTGCATGACGGTTTGGGATAGTCAGTCATACATGACATCTAAGGTAAGTCAGTCATACATGACATCTAAGGTAAGTCAGTCATACATGACATCTAAGGTAAGTCAGTCATACATGACATCTAAGGTAAGTCAGTCATACATGACATCTAAGGTAAGTAAGTCATACATGTAATCCAAGGTAAGTCAGTCATACATGACATCTAAGGTAAGGCAGTCATACATGACATCCAAGGTAAGTCAGTCATACCTGACATTTAGTGTAGACGTTAGACGCTCCTGTGTTACAACTGAACGTAGTGCAGCAATCTAAAATACGCCTCACTGATGTAAAGAACATTCAAGAAATCCCATAAACGAACAACCCATGATAAAGCACAAACAACATACGTACCTCGATTTTACGTTTAGAGAAATGTGAACCAGCACATACAATCTTCATCGTCACCTGGAGAGGCGATAAAAAACAACATAAGAATTTTATAAAACAATTTATGGAAAAAAAAGAACAAAAAACCATGAAATATGATAAATGCAAGTTTTTGGAAAGTCCTAAGATAAAAGATGTTAACAGTTTTATAATCTATACATTACATTTTTGTATTTTATTACTATTATTATTAGTTATTATTATTTTTATAACTAAACAAGTGTAAAATACTATGGAAAAACGTCATTCTCCTTCCATTGCATTTAATTTTATTACAAAATTTTGAAAAGCTAAGCATAAAAATGCTGTCTTAGAAAGAAAATATTTTTTATGTATTCTAAAATTTTAAAGTCTCGATGTTTTGGTGATATTTTTAGATGGCGTTATTGACGGGCGACCTTGAGAGCAGGCGTCAAAGGTTAAACGAGTTCTAGCACTATCACGCAGGACAGTTTAGCTGATTTTACAGCCCCTAACGTCACAAAGTGCTACTTTTACAACTAGATCTCCCCACCCCTGTGCTACTTTTACAACCAGATCCCCTACCCCCTGTGCTACTTTTACAACTAGATCCCCCACCCCCTGTGCTACTTTTACAACTAGATCCCCCACCCCCTGTGCTACTTTTACAACCAGATCCCCACCCCCTGTGCTACTTTTACAACCAGATCCCCACCCCCGGTGCTACTTTTAAAACCAGATCCCGACCCCCTGTGCTACTTTTACAACTATATCCCCCTACCCCCTTTGCTACTTTTACAACAAATTTCACCACCCCCCTGTGCTACTTTTACAACAAATTTCAACCCACTGTGCTCCTCATGAGCCCGGCTTGGCCCGCTAGCTGTAGAACGGCCCACATAAATCTAGTCTTGTAGTGGCCCACTGGCCCGAGAACGGCCCACATAAATCTAGTCTTGTAGTGGCCCACTGGCCCGAGAACGGCCCACATAAATCTAGTCTTGTAGTGGCCCACTAGCTGTAGAACGGCCCACATAAATCTAGTCTTGTAGTGGCCCACTAGCTGTAGAACGGCCCACATAAATCTTGTCTTGTAGTGGCCCACTAGCTGTAGAACGGCCCACATAAATCTAGTCTTGTAGTGGCCCACTAGCTGTAGAACGGCCCACATAAATCTAGTCTTGTAGTGGCCCACTAGCTGTAGAACGGCCCACATAAATCTAGTCTTGTAGTGGCCCACTAGCTGTAGAACGGCCCACATAAATCTAGTCTTGTAGTGGCCCACTAGCTGTAGAACGGCCCACATAAATCTAGTCTTGTAGTGGCCCACTAGCTGTAGAACGGCCCACATAAATCTAGTCTTGTAGTGGCCCACTAGCTGTAGAACGGCCCACATAAATCTAGTCTTGTAGTGGCCCACTAGCTGTAGAACGGCCCACATAAATCTAGTCTTGTAGTGGCCCACTAGCTGTAGAACGGCCCACATAAATCTAGTCTTGTAGTGGCCCACCAGCCCGAGAACGGCCCACATAAATCTAGTCTTGTAGTGGCCCACTAGCCCTAGAACGGCCCACATAAATCTAGTCTTGTAGTGGCCCACCAGCCCTAGAACGGCCCACATAAATCTTGTCTTGTAGTGGCCCACTAGCTGTAGAACGGCCCACATAAATCTAGTCTTGTAGTGGCCCACCAGCCCTAGAACGGCCCACATAAATCTTGTCTTGTAGTGGCCCACTAGCTGTAGAACGGCCCACATAAATCTAGTCTTGTAGTGGCCCACCAGCCCGAGAACGGCCCACATAAATCTAGTCTTGGATAGGCTGTCAGGAGAGCGATGCTGGCGCCAGGAAGGTCAGATTTCTGCTATTTATTGCCCGTCACTCCACTGTCGTTCCTTAACATTTGAGCACCGTCGTGATCGATAGTTTAAACTGTAGTGATCGATAGTTTAAACTGGTGATCGATAGTTTAAGGTATAGTGATCGATAGTTTAAGGTATAGTGATCGATAGTTTAAGGTATAGTGATCGATAGTTTAAACTGGTGATCGATAGTTTAAGGTATAGTGATCGATAGTTTAAACTGGTGATCGATAGTTTAAACTGGTGATCGATAGTTTAAGGTATAGTGATCGATAGTTTAAGGTATAGTGATCGATAGTTTAAACTAGTGATCGATAGTTTAAACTAGTGATCGATAGTTTAAACTAGTGATCGATAGTTTTAACTGGTGATCGATAGTTTTAACTGTAGTGATCGATAGTTTTAACTGGTGATCGATAGTTTAAGGTATAGTGATCGATAGTTTAAGGTATAATGATCGATAGTTTAAACTGGTGATCGATAGTTTTAACTGGTGATCGATAGTTTAAACTGGTGATCGACAGTTTAAACTGGTGATCGATAGTTTAAGGTATAGTGATCGATAGTTTAAACTGGTGATCGATAGTTTAAACTGGTGATCGATAGTTTTAACTGTTGATCGATAGTTTAAACTAGTTATCGATAGTTTAAACTAGTGATCGATAGTTTAAAATGGTGATCGATAGTTTAAACTGGTGATCGATAGTTTAAACTGGTGATCGATAGATTAAACTGGTGATCGATAGTTTAAGGTATAGTGATCGATAGTTTTAACTGGTAACTGGTGAGCGATAGTTTAAGGTATAGTGATCGATAGTTTTAACTGGTGATCGATAGTTTAAGGTATAGTTATCGATAGTTTAAACTGGTGATCGATAATTTTAACTGGTGATCGATAGTTCAAACTGGTGATCGATAGTTTTAACTGTAGTGATCGATAATTTAAACTGTAGTAATCGATAGTTTAAACTGGTGATCGATAGTTTAAGGTATAGTGATCGATAGTTTAAACTGGTGATTGATAGTTTAAACTTGTGATCGATAATTTAAACTGGTGATCGATAGTTTTAACTGTAGTGATCGATAATTTAAATTGTAGTAATCGATAGTTTAAACTGGTGATCGATAGTTTAAGGTATAGTGATCGATAGTTTAAACTGGTGATTGATAGTTTAAACTTGTGATCGATAATTTCAACTGGTGATCGATAGTTTAAACTATAGTGATCGATACTTTATAGTGGTTTAAAATGTGATGGACTATATTTTATAAACTGTAAGATTAACTGGGTATTTTGTTTGTAGGTCGAGTAGTTTTGTAGGCGTTGTTAGATGGATGGCGTCCGATGAAGTAGTTCATGGGGGAGTGGTGGCAGGATGGTACTTGGTAGATTGGTGTATGGTGTGGTCTGGATGCTGAATTTTCTTGGTGTTGCTATTGATTTTGGCCTCTACGCGTGCGTTAAAAGATCTGTCACCATTCCAGATCTCAAAGGTCCACGACATCATTCATGACCCCCAATGATTAGTCCGATACTCTGACCTGTTCTATACTCCACCAAGCCTGAACTCACCCAACATTGAGCACCGCAGTAAGAAAGAAAATCCATAAGATAATTAGAGGAATTCGGTCTAATTTTATTTGAGCCCATGGATGTCTGATTGCATCAAATTTTCTCGTGCCAGAGAAGAAATTCCACGTAAATCAGGCCGGCTATCGATTGGGTGCTGAACAAGGGCACCATTAGGGGCGGCGGTTTTCAACATTTTAGTGCCCTTCTTGTGCCACCTAAGTGACGTCATCCGAATGTGTGTGGTACGTCATCAATCAAACCCGCGAAATTCTGCATTTCTATTGGTTGCTAGTGGATACAGCAGCTGCCAGATTTATACAAGTAATCATTTGGCGAATTCTCGTGTAGTTTAGGATTATAAAAGTTACGGTTTAACATTTCTGTATCAGGAAAGATTAGGATTATAAAGTTACTGTTTAAAATTTCTGTATCAGGAAAGATTAGGATTATAAAGTTATGGTTTAAAATTTCCGTATCAGGAAAGATTAGGATTATAAAGTTACGGTTTAAAATTTCTGTAACAGGAAAGATTAGGATTATAAAGTTACGGTTTAAAATTTCTGTATCAGGAAAGATTAGGATTATAAAGTTACGGTTTAAAATTTCTGTATCAGGAAAGATTAGGATTATAAAGTTACAGTTTATAATTTATTTATCAGGAAAGATTAGGATTATAGAGTTACGACAAGATTTATGCGAAGTTCTTGTAGTGAGTCACAGATCAACCTGTTTATTGAAGTCTTGTGGTATTGTATAGCACTATAGCACACCTCCACCTACACAAGTCTATGGTCCTGTTTTAACTAGCAATCAGTCGTAATCTCGCCCTAAACCCCGCCCCCTACGTAAAGCTTAACCCTAATCCTTACCACAGTTCTAACAACCGAGGTCGCCATTGTGGCGGAAGTCGGCTAATACGTAGTACAGGTCAAAGGTCATGTACATCAGCACTGAGCGAAACCATTTTCGTGAGTCGAATTTAAGATGTGGGGGGGGGGGGGGGTGAAGTGGGAGGGGGGAGGTGAAGTGGGAGGGGATGAGGGTCTTAGCTTCAAGGCCAGACATTTTATCAAGAGTTGGGGGGGGGGGAGATCTTAGCTTCAAGGCCAGACGTTTTATCAAGAGTTTTGGGGGGGGGGGGGAGATCTTAGCTTCAAGGCCAGACATTTTATCAAGAGTTTGGGGGGGGGGGGGAGATCTTAGCTTCAAGGCCAGACATTTTATCAAGAGTTTGGGGGGGGGGGGGGAGATCTTAGCTTCAAGGCCAGACATTTTTTCTGGGGGGGGGGGGAGATCTTAGCTTCAAGGCCGGAGTTTTAGTTGACACAAGCCGATGTTACATAACTTACTTAATGTCACCAGATTCCAATTAAAAGCTAACGATCAAGATAAATAAACCAAACAAAAAAGTTTAACGGTCGATGTATAAAGGTCGCTATATAATGGTCGCTGTATACAATTGTTCAAAAATGATGACTGCAATAATTATTAAGAACAACGTATAACAGTCTAGATATAACAGACAAGGCATATCATCACAAGGTGGGTCATGTTTTGTGTCAGACATGAACTGACCACAGATGTAATTTAGCCACACTGTTGTCATATAGTTCCACTAATTAC